CCACTTGCCTCGTAAGCGCAAGGACCCGAGTTCGATCCCAGTACCAAAAAACAAACAAACAAACAAAAGTAGCTTAAAACAATTACTAACATATAACCAATCTTGATGCATCTACACAATTCACTCTGACCTACCCCTAATTAATTTTTCAGTTTTTGAGGTGTAATTTTCACATAATAAATTGCACATGTGTAAAATTTGGGCTAGAGGTGTAGCTTAGTGGGAGGACACTTGCCTAGCAGGCTGAAGGCCTGGGTTTGATCCCTAGAATGAAAGAGAGAGGAAAGAAGGAAAGAAGAGAGGAAGAATAAAATTTGATGATTTTTCACATATGTAGACACTAGAGAAGCCATGGTTACAATTGAAATAATGAACATATTAATCACTCCAAAAGTGAGAACGGTACTTTTTAAACTACAGTTTGCAACCCAGTAGTTATTTATGTAATCACTTCCGGGGCAATTCATGAAAGAAACATCTAGTTGGTCCTGGAACTTCATTTTCTTCCCCTTTTCAGTAACTCAGCTGAGAGCTGAGCCAGCGGTAGAAAGAAAAAGTCTTTGGTTGACGTCAGTGTTCCTGGCCGGCCAGCAAGGCTTTTTCTTTGGCCCTTTGTATACAGACCTTGCCCCTGGGCATGCACACTCTCTAGCAGAGTTCCTGATCTGATACCTTTCTTGTTACAGGCTTTCTTGTCATACAGCTGGCCTGTTATCCAGAAGGCTATTTCCTGGGACTTTGTGGTTCATTTGGAACATCTATGACTATGCTATGGAACAAGGAGAGTTCAGGAGACTGTGCAGACTCCACTACTCTTTTCTGTTTGTTTATAAGTTTTCTCTCAATGAATCCTGTTATACCTGCCTTGAAATGTTGAAAAGCTGGTTCCCCAAATATCACCACTACACCTATTGATAAGACAAAGATGAGTTTATTGCTAATGGGGTAAAGAAGAACACCATCTCTGCAAACGTTTGGCAGTGTATGGGTAGATAAAAGGCAAAGTCAGAATCTGAGGTTTGAGATGCATCTTTCATTTCAGAGACCTGATTAGAGTCAGGTAAGGTTTATGATAAAATGTTCCAGGATTGCTAAAAACACAAAACAAGGATTCTGAGGTGAAAGATTCAAAGAATCTTAAAGAATTTCAAACTCTCTGTTAATGTTTTCAACTGAAGAGTTGATAAGCTATTCCTGTAATGAACAATGATGCCATTTGGGTGGGCAGGGAAGTTCTAGAAAAGTAAAGCCATGCTAATGATCATAGAATTGCAAAGTCAGATCAGACAGTAAGGTGTGATTTCAGTACCATTATTGGTGGGTGTCCAGGATAGATATAGGGGTAGGTTTTCGTTTTCAGGTGCTAGTCATGTATGTCCGCGAGTCCCTTACACAACAGTGAAGAGAAGCATTTTGCAAAGAATGAAGTAAAGTACAGTTGAATTGCATTTTTTTTTGCAGTGGTGGTGACTGAACTCAAGGTCTTATGCATACCTCTGGCAAGTGCCCTGCCATTAAGCTACATCCCTATTCCTTGAGTTGATTTGCATTTAATAAATGTTTTATTTTGTGGAACTTTTGTTTCAGTTACACGTATGTGTGAAATGAATTAGGAAGTAAAATGTATTTCTTACAATCAGTCTGCATCCAAAAATGTTTGAAAGCTACTGCCTTATAAAGATATTAATATGTGCCATAAAATCTTCTATCAGCTGACTTGTACTTCAGGGAAAAATACATAATCTGAAGATTGAAACAGAGGCCCTGTTCTGGGAGATGAAAGGGCTGAGTAAGTATTTTGAATTGATAATGCTGTTTACCATGTCATCAAAGGTGAAATAAATGCTGCTAGACAAGAACAACTTATTACTGTGAGCACTGTTAACATCTAAATCAAATTCTTAAGAAGGCACAGGTTCTCATTTCACTGATACAATCTACTTATGACAGAAACTGGGTAAGATGACCTCTGGGGGGCCTCCTCATTAGGATATTATGATTCTACAGAGGATTCTACAATAGAAACAGGCAGTTAATTTGAGATGTGTTAGCTGGCTATCAACTCCCACCTTTGGTTCTGAGGTTCTGCTGGATAGAAAAATAAATGTGATCCATTGATCAATAAAGAACTTGCATTCTCAAATAGGTTATCTACTTCTCTGAGGAAACTGACACTTTAGGGATTTGGAAGGCTGGCAGTTTTGGAAGAAACATAACCTCACCACCACTATTGGGCCTGAAATTCCGCAGAAGACCTATTTCTCTGGACAAGTCACAGTCTCCTTTGGCCAAGCACTTCAGCCTGTCACACAGACTTTGTTTTGTTTTGCTTTTCTATTTATCAAAAAGACTTGAGTTCTTTTTATTTATCAAAAAAGTTTTAGAAACACTCCCTCAGTGGGTGTTGATATGATTTATTCAGTAATCATTTGAGGCCCAAGACTGTTAATCACTGACTGGGGTTCCTACTCTTGAACAAGTTCTCATTGTCTGCAGCAGACAGGTAAAACTGCCTGGGGTCTAAAGGCTATAGACACAGTATGGGCTTTAGAGTCACACAGACCTGTGAGGAAATCACTTTTCCCTTTTTAATGGTGACACCTTAGGCCATGCAGCTGAGCTTCAGCTTTCTCATCTGTAAACTAATGAAAACAAAAACAACTTCAGTGAAAAGGCAAAATACATGGGGCAATTAAGGAAATGATTTTAGTCAGACTACTGCCATAGGGAGAATGCTCAAAAAAGGAAACTTAGTTTTATTAGAAGCAGGTGAACAAGGGAGTCATACAGAAGTCTTCTGAGAGTCATGAAGAAAGATGAAGAGGATCTTAAGGAACTTGAAAGGGTAATGTGGTCTTTTGCAGTGAGCCAGTTTTGGAACACAAAAGAGTGGAAAGATTTCTCAAGTCTAGCTGCTTTCCTGGAGCCTAGGGCACAGATAAAGCTCAATGTTGTCAAGCACTTCACATAGAGCCTGCCCCAAGGCAGGCATTCAACAATTTTTTTCTTTTTCTCTTTTCCTCCAACAGAAGGACATACAAACTGTTGTGGAGACTCAGAGAAGGGTCTGACAGATGTACCAGCTAATTGCAAAGGACCACACTGCTGCAGCAAATTCCTTACCCTTCCTCATGGCTTCTATAAATTGATGAATGATTCCCTTGGGGAAACTGGATTTGACAAAGGATTCAGAATTTTTTTCTGGAGCCTGAACCCAGGGCTTCTGTGCATGCTAGGTAAGCACCCTACCATTGAGCTACATTCCCAGCCCCTTTTAAAATTTTATTTTGAGACAAGGTCTCACTAAATTGACCAGGCAGGCCTCAAACTTGGTCTTCTGGTTGAAGCATCCTGAATAGCTAGCTAGTTGGTGGTACGCACCACTATACCCACCAGGATCTTGAATCTTAAAGATGAATAGTTGTTTGCCAGAAAGACAGAAGGAAGGAGAGTGTTCTAGGTAAGGCTAACAAGACAAAGACATAGAAGGTTAAAAGAATCAAAGGCAAATTACCCTTTAGGAGAAAATGGGTGAAGAATCATATACAGAGAATGAATTGTGATTTGTTTCTGCAAAGTGTAAAAGAACCACTATCAACAATACTAAGACTGCTACCAACCATTGTCTCTCAAAGGTTAAATGGGAAATAACTTCTGTGAGGATAGAGTCCTAAAAATATTGTAGCCAACCTGTAAAATTGGAAGGGCTTAATAATATCGTTTTCAGCCCAGAACTCTGAAATCTCAAGAAATTATGCAGGAGGAGAAAAAAAACCCTATACCTTTAAGGACTTTGAAACCAACATGAATGGAATGCAGGCAGAGTAAAATCCTAAAATTTTGAGCTATGGACTAAAACTAGAGACCAGTCTAAAACCCTCACGGTACAGATTTAAAAACACAAAAAACAACTAAGAGGGACAGAGATTTGTGCAAGGTCACACAATAGCCAAACTCAAGCCTACATTCTTCTTTTTTTGTAACTGGGAATCGAACTCAGGATCTTGGGCTTGCCAGGCAGGCGCAGTCAAGCCTATATTGGAGGTCCCTACAATCTCAAAACAATTCTCGCTGGGTGTGGTGGTTCCCCACCCCCACCCCCGCCCCCGTAATCCCAGCACTCGGGAGACTAGGGCCTGAGGATCGCCACGAGTTGGAGGCCAATCTGGGCTACACAGTGAGTTCAATGCCAGGCTGAGCTACAAAGCGAGATCCTGCCTCAAAAAAAAAAAAAAAGAGTCTCATTCCAGTCACTCAGACTTTTTATCACTGCAGAAACAGGATGGTACTAATTTTGAAAGCAAGGCCCTTGAGCACGTGCCAAGAAAACAGATTTTTAAAAGACCTCAACCTAGCCAGGGATTTAGCTCAGTGGTTCCGCCGCCTGCCCTGCAAGTACAAGTACCGGAGTTCGATCCCCTATACCAAATAAATAAGCAAACTCGATCTTAACTATCTGTATATTAGATTTTTTTTTTCAGTATCGGGAATTGAACTCAGGACCTTGCGTTTGCCAGGCAGGCGCGGCACCATTGAGCTACAACCCCGGTTATAGTAGATATTTTCTATGTAGCCCTACTTCAGTAACTAAAGTGTTCAATGTATTAGGTTCTGATTCATGGAAATAAAATCCTACCTAAAAGTGCATTTCCAGAAAGTAGACCAGTCGTTCACAACTCCACAGTCGCCCGCCAATGGGCGCAAAACATTTTCCTGCCGTCCAGACATTCCCTTTCCGGTCTGTACAGAAGTTGGTCAGCAACCTAGAAATTGGCGGAACCTAGGGGCCGAATGCTTGCAGCTGTTCGAGCTGCTTAAGGAAATGAACACTTCCGAGAGAAGGTGAACCGGTCTCAGCACCCGGAAGGAAGCTCCACACTTCCGGCCGGCGGGGACGTAATACCCATGTGATAAGGGCGGACCCCCAGTTCCACGTTCCGATTGGCCACGCTAGCACTAGGAGGCGGGCTTGCGTTGGGGTCACACTTTCCTATTGGCTGCTGTCGCGGCGGCGGTTTGGAGTGAGGGTAGCACGCTGAGCTGAAGACTGTGTGGACAGTCTCAGCCCGGAGCCTGGAAACTATCCCATTTCTGGTGGGAATCCCGTGCTGGTTTAGGTCTGACTTCCTGGGGGATGGATCGGGTATGGAGTGCATGGTGCGGAAAGTGCGTCAAAGAAAAAAGATCGACGCCACCCTTGGCCCAGAGCATCGTCGTCGCCTGGCTCAGCAAGGCTGAATGGGACCAGGTGACGGTCTATTTGTTCTGTGATGACCATAAGTTGCAGCGGTATGCGCTGAACCGCATCACGGTGTGGAGGAGCAGGTAAGGCGGAGCCGGGCTCAGACCTTTTGCCTGCGTGCTGGTGTCTCTTCACTTCTTCCTTTGTCGAGTTCCTAAAGGGCCCTAGTCTTATGTCTTCTCCTAAATGTCTGGGGGAAAATCTCAGGCAAGCTCTTGAACGAAATCAGTTTGTGGATGAAAAGTAAGAGGTTGTGTCTCAACAATCCTCTTGTTAAATCTGTGAAGTATAACCTTTACTTCCAAAAAGTAACCTTCCTGCTTTCTTGGAGAGGGTGCTGAAGGGCCTGAGTCAGAGTTTAAGGAGTAGATTAACACCCTAAGGTGAATTTGCCATTCGAGTTAGGGAAAATGGGAGAGGGTCTGGCCCCTCAAAACATGTTTGAGTGGGTTGCCTCAGTCTAGTTAATGTTGGGTTGGGGACAGACGAACAAGGGATATGGGTTTGAGGGTTTCAGGGTGAAAGGGGTCAACAACTGTTGATTGACAGTCTAGCAAATAGATGTCTTGTGTACACCCTAGTCAGCCTCTTATGCCCTGTATTAATGTTGGATCTTATGGACATTATCTTGTCTCTCTCACCTTTTTGTTTGGTATCTTCATGCACTCTTGAGACAGTATATAGTGGGAATAGCCCGCAACAACCAAGATTCTGAGGTAGAGAGGGCGAATCAGTATAAAGGACCTTTGTGATGGTGCTGGATTGTGGCTCTTTAGGTTAGGCAACGAACTGCCCCTGGCAGTGGCTTCTACTGCTGACCTGATACGCTGTAAGCTCATGGATGTAACTGGTGGCTTGGGCACTGATGAACTTAGACTGCTCTATGGCATGGCATTGGTCAGGTAAGACCTGCATGGTGGGGGGGTGGCTTTGGGGACTGGAGTGTGGTAAGCATGTGATAAGCAAAGCGTGGCTTCAGGTGGTATCTGAAGCAAAAAAGCCCTGAGAGTCTCTGAGTATGAGTCAGCCTGTGATTTGTTGACTTAACAGCTTTTGGTACTTTCATCAACATAATCTTCTTCTCTTTTCCTGGAACCCCCTCTTTTCCATTTTTCTTTCCTCTTAGAATGTATGTGTGTGGCAGGGTGGGGAGGATTCAGACCAGGTGATCTCTATTGGGTGACTTAGAACTTTGGTAGTCTGATTTTCTCCCTTTTACTCCTCAACCAGAGGAACTTTTCTGAGTGGTTCATTGCCCTTGGCTGTGATTTAGTTTGGATTTTCCAGCTTTATTCTGTCTACATCTAGCACCACCCGTTTCCATTTTCTCTCCTCCGCGAACACTGAAAGGTTGCCAGGTTGTGAAAGTGAAGACTTGGGCTGGGAGTTCCTGACTTACAGAGTGACTCATAGGAGTTATAGATGTCCCATACACATCAGGAAGAAGGTTGCCACCGAGTTTCCTCATATGTCAAAGCCTTTTCTCATATCATACTGACCCGATGTCTGCCTTGAGATCCTTCCTTTCTCCTTTTACCTCTTCCATCATTTAGCCATGCTCCCCATGTAATCTAATACAGTCTTCTCGCTTCTATAACATATTATGTTCTAGTATAATCTGTTATATTATATCATGATTATTTGACTTAGATTGAATTTGTCAAGCCAGGGCAGTGTCTAATTCATCTGTATGGCTTTAGTATAGGGTAGACTCTCAGTAAATGCTGGAGTGGATGGAACTGTCCATTTTCTGGCTGAAACCAACCGTAAGAACAAGATAGTGGAAAGGTTGTGAAAATGTAAGATGTCAGTAACTCTGGAAGGTGTTTTGAGCAAAACTTCCTTGGGCTGTGCAACTTACTTCTCCCCCCGCACCAGGTTTGTGAATCTTATCTCTGAAAGGAAGACAAAGTTAACCAAGCTCCCCCTCAAGTTCCTGGCTCAGGAGGTATGTAAGATAAAATGCCCTTGCTCAATTCTCTCCAGGAGAATTTCTTAAACGGGGAGTGGGGTAAGGTGTGCACACAGTCAGATTAGCTCATTCCATCACTACTAGCCAAGACCAGCAAAAACTCCAGAGCTTCTGGTTTCAGCTTAAAAGAAGCAAATTTGTTCTCTTAATCTTCATGACTTGTATCTCACAAGACTTGGTGAGCCTACCTTGCCGGCAGTGGCCCCATGAAGCTGAAGGGCCCAAATGTACCACTGTGTGGGTACAGGAAAGAGGTAGCAGTCACGTTGCCTACCCTCAGAGAGCTGATAGACTGAGGGAGTTGATAGCTCCGCTGAAGAGCATGAAAATGCCAGGGAATCCTCCCCTGAATGAGTGTGTAGTATGAGGCTTAGATGGCAGTATGTATTCAGTCATCTAGAGAAGCTTCCTGGAGGAGGTAGGGAGGAAAAGAAGGGTAAGGGGACCCAGAAAGAGGGAAAGGGCAGAAGGAGGCTGGAGAAGTTGTTAACGCTAATCCACTTTCCTATTGGAGAGTTGCTGGTGGTTGGGGAAGGTGGGTACCTTTTGTGATTTTTAAGACCACCTTTACTAAAGTCTAAAAATTAATCAGGAAGATTTGGTTTTCAATCTTTGCCCTGTCAGGAAGACTGGACTCTTCTCTCAGGACTTCAGTTTCTCTATCTGTAAAGCAGAGGGAATGGTCAGGTTAATTTATTTCTGGGTCTCTTCTGGCTTTAATATTCTCTAATTTCTATATTCACCCCCCCTGCCCTTATCAGGTGAACATTCCTGATTGGATTGTTGAACTTCGCCATGAATTGACACACAAGAAAATGCCTCATATAAATGACTGTCGCAGAGGTGAGTCCCCTGGGGTTATTCCTGTTGCACGTAAGGCCTGGGCTGAATGGCATTTGGGGTGGTAGAATAGGAAAGAACTTACCACCTGGGTTCAGGACAGGGACTACAGTGAAACAAGTAAGAGACTTACCTTGGGTACAAAATTTAAGGGTATATCAAAAGTTCAGTGATCATGTTAAATAGCATTTTAATGTGGGAAAAATCTCTGATGAACAAGAGAAAAAGCAAAGGATGAACATTACTGATTTTTTTGCTTCAGGCTCACATATGGCTTGGTATGGAACTGTTCTGATCCTGTTTTGATACCTTGATTACAGTTGTCCCCCCCCCCCCCATTTTGCTCCTGAGGTGGTTTCTCATTAGCCTTGTCCTAGCAGGGGCAGGAGGAATAAGTTGAGCACTATGAGCCATTAAAACCTTCACAACCCAGGAGTTGTTGGGACATCTATTCCATCTCAGTTAAGAGTTCCTAATTTAACCTTACCCTCTGCAATAGGGAAACTGAGGTCTAGAAAAGGGAAGAGACTTGGCCAAGGCCATGTAACAAACCAGTGGACCTAGGTCCCAGTTCTCCTATTTACCACCCCTTGCTGTTTTTTTTGACATCTTATCTCTTAATTCCTATAATAATTTTTTTCTAGGAAAGGTTCTGATAAATAGAAAGCAAAAAATGAGAATAACCCAGAGTAAGAGTGACTGTATCTGGATATGTGAGATATGAGCCATAGAGCCAAGCCTCTTCCTTCAGGTTTTTCCATAATGCTCACAAGATGAGGAAGTCCAGAGGGCTGAGAACCCGTTAGCTGTTTGCCTGTGGCTGGTCCTGTGGCACTGCCTGCCTTACCTTTTTTAGGCTGCTACTTTGTCCTGGATTGGCTCCAGAAGACCTACTGGTGCCACCAACTGGAGAACAGCCTGAGACACACCTGGGAGTTGGAGGAGGACAGGGCAGACATGGAAGAAGACCAAGAGGTAGATAAGAACATTGGTGTTGATGACATCGCAGAACAGAGACCAGAGCCTCAGGACCATGGCAAAGGTACAGAGTTGGATGTCAAAACTGATGGAGACAGTAAAGGCAGTGAAGAGGTGGATTCTCATTGGGAAAAGGCTCTGCGACATAAGGAGTTGTATGGTAGGTGTCTAGTGGCAAAGAGGGCACCATGATCCTGGAATGCTGAGTCTTAGGGTTAGTGCTGGTTATTTCCCTGGCTCAGCATTTCCTCTGGGGCGGTGGTGTTTCTTGGCTTACAAACCACTTCAGCTAGTTTCCATGGTATAGTGGTTATCACATCTGCCTCACAAACCATTTTCCTTGATCTCTGTGAAGTATGTGGGGAAGGAATTCTAGTTTTCAATTTATAACCTCCACCAAATAAAGTGAAGGAGTCTTAAAATCCTGCTGCGAGCTGGGCTGGCTGCACTATCTGTCTCCCCATTCTGTTTTCAGAGAGAGCCCGGGAATTGCTAGTATCATATGAAGAGGAGCAATTTAAGGTAAGAAGGGACCCTTGACCTGACATGTTCTCAATTGCCCCAGCTATTTCTTCCCTCTTGCCAGCTACCTGAGAGAAGTCTTGAGAAGGAATTTGAAAGGAAAGTGACAAAGCATGGGGGAACTTCTCAGAGAGAGAGGGGGGAACTAGGAAGGAGACAAGAGGAGCAGAGTCCAATTGGATGATCTTCCACACTGATGAAAGGGAGCAGATAATGAAGTTTGTGGATAATCTGCCCTATGGGTGGTAGAGGACAACTGGGAACGGGTAGTTGCAATTCCACATCTGACCAGCAGGTGGGGCAGAAGACCTTCCTTAGATCAGGTGAGCTGGAGGGGTGCAGTTTTAGCAGGGAGGTAGCTTAGAAACTGTTTAGCTTATATTCACAAATGAAGAAATTGAAGCCATGGATGAGTGAGAGGACAGATCTAAGGTCATATATATAGTCAGTGAAAGAATCATGATAAGAACTTAGGTCTCCTGATTCCCTTTCATAACCAATTGCCTCCCCTTCTCACCTTTTGTCCTAAAGAGCTCTGTCCATCTTCAACTAAATGCTCTCATTGGACATCTTAGCATTAGTGTATCTAATAATTGGAAACTACAGGGAATTCAGGGGAGGGATAGAGGCAGGAGGAGAAAAAGTTCTGTCATTTGAAAGGGGTTTTTTGTTTGTCTGTTTGTTTGTTTTATTTTTTGTTGCAGGGCCAACAGGGGAGTTATGGGCCCACCCCTGCACGCAATGCCCTGTCCCCCATAGGGCAGTCCTGAAGTTCTATGGGAAGAGATTCTGGAGGGTTGAGGGTGGGTTGCCTAGCTAAACTAGCCTTCTGATGGGACCCTTTATACTGGCAGGTGCTGGAGAAATTTAAGCATTTACCTCAGGCCATTAAGGCATGGAATAATCTGTCTCCACGTGTAGAAAGCATCTTGGCAGAGCTCAAAGGCATTGCTTGGGAGAACAGGTATGTAAGTAGGTAATTGAGGGTGCCTGCTGTCTAGGGAGGGAGGTACCAGCCTTATTGAAATAAGTTTCCTTGTCCTAGCTTGCCAACATATGGTATAGGAAATCCAGGGTAATTCTGATCCTCTGCATAGTGACCCTATGTTCTGCATGATCACCTGTCCCTGCCCCTGCCAGCTACTAGGTGGGAGTTGCCTAGTGTGAGTCACTGGAATGGCCAGTGGTAGGAATATCCATTGTCATCCATCCTAGTCATGTATTGTCTGGCCAAACTTTTTCCTGTCAGGAGGGATGTGATACTCTTGGAAAGTAGGAAAAGCCTATGACCCTTAGTACTTCACTGCCTAGCCGTTGACGCAAGTCTGAGGTAAAAGATACATGGTAGGCACTGCTGGTCTGTTCTTTGAAACTGCTTTTGGAGGGTGTGAGCATTCCTTGGTTAGTTGGAACACACACAGGGGCTTCTTAGTGCCAGGCTACTAGAGATCAAGTTTTCCCAGTGCAGGCTAGGACTGTCCCTGGAGTTTTCTCTTTTATTCTCAAGACAAGACTAGTTCCAAAGGTGTTTTAAAATCAGAGTCTCCTGGCCTAGATTTCTTAACTCTACCCTTTAGCAAAAAAGTGGGTGGTGGTGGGAAAAACCATCCTTGTGTGTCTACATTGTAATGCCTGCCTGGTAGTGCTACACAATCAGCTGGTAGGCTGCTTTAAGTGTTCCTTTTAGATATCGACATGAAATAACTACTTTCTCTTCAAACTTGGTCTGTTGCAGGAAGGAATCTTGAGTGTAGTGTCAACCCTACAGGCACCGGGATCCGCTGGGAACTCTTTTTCCTTCTGTAGGCTTGGGCAGCTAGGAGAGTCTCTTGGGAAGCTACTAGCTCTGGAGGAATCAGCTTGCTGTTGCTGTTTTAGTTTTGAGTTACATGGGAATGAACGATTACTCACAAAGTCTACTTCTTTAGTCTCTCTAACTTTGTTTTGGGTTCTTGTAGTCCTTAGGAAGAAGGCCTATGGAGCATGTTTGGGCCAGAAATTGAGTCCCCAAGATTTCTACTAGGATCTAAAGGCACCCATGGAGAAGTGGGGGGTACATTTAGGGGACTGGATAATGGTCAAGAGAAGCAAAAGGACTGCAGGAACTGATGTCTGAAAGCCTTTGACCATGATCCTAGGCATTAACTCTTTTCTCTGTGGGCCTCAGATTTTCATTCCTTCTGTATTTTGAGGCATATTCAGCCACTACTGCCTACATTCTGGGCTTTAGATCAACATATGCTTGGTAAATATATGTTAAAAACCCACTGATCTCATCCTTTGTCGGCTCAGCCCCTGCTCCAGGAGGCTACTGCCTAAGATCGACTCTCACTTGCCCCATCCTCTGCACAGCTGCTTTAGGGGTGGGCGGGGGAATAGGTGAGGGTCTTCTGTGAGGTTCAGTTTGCTAAACTAGTGCCCTTTTTATTTTTTGTGGTACTGTTGATCAAGCTAGTGCTCTACCACTGAGAAACCGAAGCCCCTTTAAGGCTTTTCAGCTTAAAATAACTAATAGACCAATTCAGTATACTTATATTTGGAAATGGCCTACCTCTCTTTGAGATAAAGTCTTAGTATATTACCCAGGCTGGCCCTGAACTCCTAAACTCAAAGGAATCCTCCTGTAGAGCCGGGACTACAAGTGTTCATCACCATGCCCAGCTAAACTAGTGTCCTTTTATTCCAGGGATGCTGTGCTGGATGCTTTTCTGGATGATGGCTTCCTTGTTCCCACATTTGAGCAGTTGGCAGCTTTGCAGATAGAGTATGAAGGTAAGGTCTTAGGGGATCTTTGAAGCCTTGGGGTTCTGTGTTTCCTAGGTGGGAATACCAGGGGTAGTCTGGGAAGCCCTGGGTCAAGGGTGGAAGCCCTTCAACCCTTCTGACTGAGCAGAACAAGTAACCTTACTGATATACAGTTGTGGGCTCATCCTTGGGTGGCCTAGAATTGGGTGGAGTGGAGTGGGTAGTGTTGAGGGAGTCTCGATGCCATTATTGTGCCATGTTAATTATGATTTAGCCTCTAGCTAGAGAGCTAGAGCAGCTGCACTGGAAGGGCCTTATGAGGTCATGTAGTCCAACATCCTCATGTTACAGATGGCCATGCTGAGGTCCAGAGAGGGGAAGGTACTGATGCAAAGTCACACAGTGAGTTACTGACAAAAGTTGAAGCTAGAACCACAGTTTATTTTATACTTTTATTTTGAATCAGTTGTTTGGTACCAAATACTAACTGGTTTCTCTTCTCTTCTGTTCTCTTTCCTCCTGTTCTCCGGTGTCAATTCTGTTGTTGGTGGGGCTTGTGCGCCCTTCTGCTTTCTCTTTGTCTCTGCCCTCCCCTTACCCTCCCTCCATCACAAAACAGAAAATGTGGACTTGAATAACGTCTTGGTACCAAAGCCATTCTCTCAGTTCTGGCAGCCCCTGCTCAGGGGCCTGCATTCCCAGACCTTCATGCAGGCCCTGCTGGAGAGGATGTTCTCTGAGCTGCCAGCCTTGGAGGACAGTGGGATCCGGCCCACCTACATCCTTAGATGGACCATTGAACTGATCGTGGCCAACACTAAGTCCGGTGAGGGAGATTAGCCCTAGCCCCAGGGCCTAAGCCAGCCCAGGCAAGAGCATTTATCACTATACACAGCACCCTGTTGAAAAACTTCAAAGATTAAAGATTTAGGTTTGTCCAGGAGAGCCCTGAGGGCATCAGGGACAGATCTCCCTTTTCCTTTTTCTTGTCAGAGCCAACTAAAATAGGTTGAAGCAAAGTTTCCTGTATACTTTGAGCAGTTGAGAAGAATAGGGTGGTCAGTCTGGGGGAATGGGGAAGGACAGAGCCAAACTTGTCAAGGTAAAATACTGGGTGTGGTCTCACTGGTTTCTTATCCACTGGGCCTCTTTTCTCTCTTAGGACCGAATGCTCATCGATTTTCTGCAAGCCAGCGGGAAGCAAGAAGGACCTGGAGGCTATTCAACTGCTCTGCCTCCCTTGACTGGCCCCAGGTGGTTGAGTCCTGCTTGGGCTCACCTTGCTGGGCAAGCCCCCAACTCCTTCAGCTGTAAGTCTCTTGAATTCCATCTGGTAAGAGGGTGAGGCCCTGCAAGCTTCAGGGCAACACATCCCTAGAATGGTCAAGTTGGAAGGACCTTTCAAGGATGTCTAGCTCAGTCTCCTACTAACAGATGGGAGAACAGAGTCCAGAGAGGGGAGAGATAGTATATCCTCGCCTAAGATCGTACAGCTTAACACTTGGCTGAAGTGAATCTAGTGTGAGAATGCTTAGCAAAGTGGCCTGCACAGAGTAAGTGCACAATAAATGGTAACTGCTGTTTATTATTGAACCCAGGTCTGATGACTCTTAAGGCCAGTGCTGTCTCTATTATCTTCCCAAAGTATACCTTTGATAGTTACCCAGCAGCCTTCAGCCAGCAGCTCACTATTGCTTTCCTGATGAAGTTAAGGCTTCTTAGCCTGATGTTCAGAAATCTTTCTGATTCTGGCCCTACCTGTCATGGTAACCATACATCCTGTGTCTCCCCTTTTACCCAGTCTGCCTTGGGTTCTGTGATCAAACTGAATATTGCATTAGTTCCTGTAAATACTTGTTGTTTCCCTTTCCTTTTCTCTGTCATTTCCTGACCCCAAGCCACTTCCCTCATTCTCATGAAAGCCTTCAGCACCTAATTCTCTTTCTGCTTTCTAAAGCAATATCTGTTTCATTTGGGTGACCTACCTGACACTGCAGCTCATCAACTCCAGTGACTTTCATTTTCTGCTGCCATCAGCAATCCATTTCCATCACTTAGAGCTGTTCCATATTTGAAAGCTGATGTCCGAGCATCCCACCTCTAGTCCTAGTTCTCACCCTCATATCTCATGATACCTACTCTTTGCCTGCATCCAGACCTCCATCCCTCCATCTCCTCCCTCCCTTGACCTTGGATGTGCCCAGTACTGTCTGTGGTTGATCACTTTAGTTACTCATCATCAGCATCCTCAGCTCTGCTCATCTTTTGGCTGTATCTGACTTGTAAACTCCCAAACTGGGATTGATCTTCCCCACTCTGCTTCCCCCGTTCCTCAGCCCAGGTAGCTGAGCTCTGCTGGAGAAAACCACATAGCCCTGAGGATTGCTGCCACTGCAGAGGTATGATTTTTAATCTTGGGCTAGGCCTCAGTTCTGCCTGTCTGAACTTTTGCTTATTTTCTGACCACTTTCTCTCCCATTCCCTGACTATTCTAAACCCTTACCACTCACCTCAAGCCCGTTCTCTCCTATTTCACCCTAGTTTCCTCAAGCACATGGAGGCATCCAACAGGGCCCCCTTGCCCTGAGGTCCAGCCCTTGTGAACTGATCTACAGCTTCAGTCAACCTTCTCGCCAGTCTCAGGATGAGGTGGCATTGCCCCTCCTCAAAGTCTGCTCTTCCACATGTGCTCTGGAACCACCTCTGCCAGCATCGCTGGGGCCTCATCCCAGCCTCTCCCTTGCTCTACTGGCTCTTGCTCTTCAATTTATGAACGTGTTGTGTTTTTCTCATCTTAAAACAACAATAACAGCATAAGAAAAATCTGCTTTGACACTACAACTCTCTGTTGGGTTATTATGAGCTTTTTACTCCCCCTCCTATCTCAAAAGAGTAGTCCTCACTTAATCTCAGTTTTCTCACTACCCTTTTCAACCTACTGCAATTTGGTGCTTACTCCTAGAGCTACTTTGACCTAATTACCAAATCCAGTGGGCCCTTATCAGTCTCTGTGCCTGCTACGTTGATGATATTTACCACACCCTCCCTAGAAATGCCTGTGCTTATTATTAGATACTATAAAGTGCAGAGGCCCAAGTCACTATATAGCCCAGGCCTTTCCTCCACAGTTCAACTTCCTAAACTCAACTACATGCCAAATATCTCCACTTAGATGTCCTACAGGCACATTACTGTAACCAAAAGAAAATTGGTCATTATACTTTCCACCCCAACTCCAAAATGATCTTCCTCTGTCCTACCTCACTTGGTGGCAGCACTAGCTACCCTTCCTATTGACTGGAATACTTCCCAAATCTGAGATTTTGTGTTTCCATTCTACTTTCCCCAGTGTTTTCTTTCCCTCTATCAGACTAAGCTTTTTTCAAGGGCAAGGACTGTGCATTAGCTCTCTGTGCCTAGCACACCACACAAATCCAAGCTCCAAATAACCTCAGTAAACATCAGTGAACTCCACTGTTCTCTGCTGTCTCATTGCCAGCAGCGATGTCCTTGGCGGAAGCTGACCTAATGCTTGAGGAATGAATGAATTGTGGAAATGGTATGTCAAGACTCTCTTAGTCCTGACTACCTACCTTATTGAATCCAGAAGTCTTTCTGAGTCCTTATGACATTTGAGGCATAGTAGTGTTTATAAGATCAAAACCATGGCCGTGTAGACAAAGTCAGCTAAAGCAAAACCTCTAGGAGATGGGACTGAGCCAAACAACCACATTGCCAGATAGGTCTACTCTAGAAGGATATACGTGGGGGTGAGGAACTGGGAGATGAACCAAAAGGGCCTGGAAGAGTTAGGAAGAGCATTACAGATGAGGCATCCTAATAATTCATGCAGGAAAAAGAATAAAGGAAGTTTCAAAGTTCAGAAGGTACATGACATATGTATGCACTGGGGTGGGGGAATGAAAGGAGCAGCATGGAAAGGTCTGGATAGGTGGCTTTCAAGGTACTTTCCAATCCTAAGTGCCTGCAGAGTGGAAGCTGCTGGTATTGGAGAAGTCTGGACCACAGAGATCTTCTCCCAGCCCAAGCATACCAGAGGGATGTGACACATGCCAGCAGTAACAGCGGCTCACTTGGGTATGATTCCTTGTGCACAGATCCTGCCTTTCCCAGATAATCAATGAACTTAGTCCTAACCACCTCACTACTCAGAGAGGAAAATAGGATGTGCCCAGGTATTATGCTGCAAGTAAGAGCAAGGGCCACAATCCAGGTAGCCTGCCCTTAGTCCTCTGTTCTTCCATTGTGTTCCACTAGATTATACTGTTACAGAAAGCATTTGTTATTAGATGAATGCAGAACTTGGTTTTTGTTTTCCTCAGAAAAAAATAAAAAATACCACTGACAATTAAGTGTCAGGCATGGTGCTGTGGCTTTTGTTTTTGTTTGTTTTTTTTTTTTTTTGGTATAAGTTATTTAATTTTACACAGCAGTCTTGGAAAGTAATGATATGATATCCTTTGCCAGATAAGTCATTGAGGCTCTGAGGAATGAAGTGACTTAATGCAAAAGTCACATGATTTGTTGACAGCAAGACAGGGATCTGGGCTCAGGTCCCATGAGTGCAAAGTCTGCCTTCTTTTCACCAACCTGAACCTGTGACCACCTCAGTCCTGTGACGAGGCATATCCAAGGAAGAAGATATATTTTGGGATTCGTTGTCACCTCTGCACCTTAGTGGCCAGACAAGATAACCAGAGATAGTTGGTGGGCAATAATAAACAGTGGTGATAAGGCATCTTGCCCGTATCAAGTGCCTGGGAATATTTATTATTGATCACTCTGATGGACCACAGTGAGAGGGCAGAATTTCTCTCTAGCTTCTCTAATAAAGTTGGACGCTTTTCAAATGCTTCCCCCAGCCAGCCAATATCAATTCAATTTGGACCAGTGTCCTCTTAGAATATGAAATCAGCTCCACAGAGAGGGTCTCCATGTCTCCATTTTGAGTCACTATCACCCTGCCCTGCCCCAAGATGTGTGGTCATGTGCTGAGAGAGAAAACAAGCCACTGAGCATATGGTCCTTCTGTGAACAACCACACACGATTCACACTTTGTACAACTCACCATCCCTCCACCGTGTCCACACGTCCAGCAATGCCTGGGCTTGTTGGGTGCCAGGTCCTAACATGAGGCTCTGTGCAGCATGCTTGCCTTCTTCTTCCCTTGTATCTGTCTGTTGTGGTGATTTTGCTATTAGCACTGTCTGTTGTGTGCATGATGTCATCATTAATTCTGTGCTCAACCCCTGCCATCAGTCTCCAAGCCTTGCTCCTTGTCTGTTTGTCCTTCACAACTTCTCCCTCTCATCTCTATTGCCAGTGTCCTAGGTCAGCCCTCACCGACTCTGGCTTGAAATGTCTGAACAGGCTCCTCCTCCGTCTCCCTGCCTCCAGGCTGCCCTGCCCAGGCCATCCTCCACTGGCCATCCTCCACGTGGTCACCATGGTGATCTTCAGACACACCCTTCATCTGTGCTCAGAGTTGGCAGGTGACCTAACTCCCAGCACACACACCCAGCCTCCCAGCCATCATCTTTTCCTCCCATGGCTCTTCAGCATAGGCCTTGCCTTCTAGCCAGGCTACTGTTAACATGCACGGTGTGCTTGCTCTGGTCTCTGGTCCTCCTGGGCCGCATGTCCAGCACGAAGTCCTCCCTTGGTTTCTTCTCCCTCCTTGTGGTCTCTGCCTTTCCCCAGCTGCCTTAGTGCCCACAGTAGGTCCACAGTACCTATTGGGCCTCCCTTCTACATCCTGCTTTGTCTTGTCAACTGCTGCTTTTTCTTTTTTTTTTTTTCTTTTTTTTTCTTTTTCCTCTATTCTGGACTGGTCTGTAGCTGCTCCTGTAAAAGGATCACATGTGTCTCATACCTAAAGACCCCAGCACCATTTTATGCACATCCTTGGAGCTCAGGACAGAAAGCAAAGCTAGGCCAGAGAAGAGAGAGATGTGCCATTCTCATTTCCAGCCCTGCAGGCCTATTGGATAGTTGGTGTATTAATGTAGCATTTCAGTGCAAACTAATTGCTATTATTTATTGCATGCCCACTATGTGCCTGGCACTGTGCCAGGCATTCTATATGAATGTTCTTATTTATCCCAAGGACCCTAGAAATTAGGTACCAGTATTATCCTCATTTTACTGAGAATGGAAGTGAGGAACAGAGATGAACTGCAGAGACTGTTCATAGTCCATGGTCGTTTTGTTTCTATGTTGTCTGCTCTACTGCCTTTCAGAGGCAGGTGTGAAAGCTGAGAAACCAAGTTCAAACTGGAGAGTGTTGGGGTATGAAGTGATTTGAAATTTTGAATCTTTCCTACCCCACCCCTCCCTTTGCTCAGTGTCTTCAAAGCCATGGGACAGGTCCTGCCAGATGGCGAACAGGAGAAGTTGCTGCGCATCTGTTCCATTTATACTCAGAATGGAGAAAACAACTTGCCGAAGGAGGGCTCAGAGTCCTTCCACAGTGAGAAGTCTCCATACACACTGGACAGCTTGTATTGGAGCCTCAAACCAGCTAGTTCCAGTTGTGGGTCTGAAGGAAAGGCCCAGCAGCAGAGGGAGCTGGGGAGTCCTAATCATGATAATCAAAAAGAGAAGGAGGAGAAAAAGGCCCTGCAAGACCAAATGGAGGGAGAGGAAGAAGAGGAAGATGATGACTTGGAAGAGGAAGATAAAGATGATGATGAAGATGATGATGACGATGACGATGATGATGATGATGATGATGAAGAGGAAGACAGAATGGAAGTGGGACCTTTCTCTACTGTGTATGAGTCGCCTGCTGTTGAGAATGCCAGGCTTGTGGCCCAGAAAAGAGGAGCTTTGGAGGGCTCTGCATGGCAGGTTAGCTCAGGTAAGTAGTCTTGATACCACTTTTTCCCTTCACCAATTTCTTCCCTGTCTGCCTGGCTTTTGAGGCTTCCCTTCACTCTAGAAAGGAGATAGAAAGTGGAAGCAAGTAGTATTGAGGCAAGCCTGGGAGGCAGCCAGTTACATGGGTGCCAAATGGCTTTCCTTTCCCTTTGCATAGAGCATGTAAGTGCTGAAGACCATTGTCAGGCTGTATGGGCAGAGAGTACATTCAAAGTAGTTGCTCAGAGTATGAGATGTAGATGGAAAAAGATTCTTATGAAGAAGAAACTAGCACAAAACTTTCTTTTCAATGAATTATGTTTTTATAAAGAAAGTAGGAAAAAGTGAGGTGTGGAATATACATACATGATTCTGCATGTGCTCTCTGTACACATGGAGGCTATTGGTAATGGAAGAGGATTTTGCTGTGTGCATTAAAAGAAACCCATGGCATTGTGTCAGAGGAACTTGGAAGTGAGATCAGAAGAGAGAATACAGAGTAGTGTGAATTTTAGGTGTTCACACAAATTCCTGAGATCAAAGCCAAGACAGAGTTTAGGGGAGGTTGATGATAGGAGAGTGCCTCCATTTAGGTTGGGAAACAGGAACCTCAAGGGAGGCAGACCCATAAAGATGGACAGAATAGTCTCACATTAGTGTGGTGGGTAGTGAGATGGAACCAGAGGGGAGATAGTAAATGAGCTTATGGGGAGAGGTCTTATTTTACTGTTGCGTGGACAGGTGTGGGAAGGCTGAGGAACATAAAGATCCCAAGTGGGAGTGTTAGGAATGATGAGCACATTAATGTGTGTGTGTGTGTGTGTGTGTGTGTGTGAGAGAGAGAGAGAGAGAGAGAGGGAGAGAGAAAATATATGGGGGTATATTTGTGCTTGCTAGATAAATTGTGCCACAATGATGCAGAAATCCCTTCACACAAGGAAGGCTGTGTTTAGGGGATCTTTGTAAATAGTGAAAGGAAGGGGCATTGGCACAGACAGAATTATGTTTGGGGAAATAAAGAGAAAAATAAGGGCAGTGAAGTCACTGTGAAGCAGCTTATATAGTGTGTACATGCATTCCTGGTTATGTATGTTTTCAAAAGTAAGTGGGGTCACTAGGACCCATAAGGGTCTGTGTCCCTGCTGTCACTGAGGGGTCATGTACAAGGGCTTCAGGCTAAAGAGGCAGAGACAGTGAAGTACACAGGGTTGAGGGTGATAATGGTAGGGGGATGGTTAAATCACTGTCAGAGCCAATGAATGGGGTGGTCCCTATGGTATCTCTGTATCCTAGGGCAATGCAGGGCATTAAGATAGGCACAGATGCTTATAAGAAAGCCAGGGGAGGGGAGAAGAACAAGCAGAGGAACAACACTTCCTCTTCTTTTCCCTGTGCTGGGGATAGAACCCAGGGCCTTGGCCTAATAGGCAATTGCTCTACAACTGAGCTGAGCTAAACTTCTAGCCCATTTTCTTTTTTTTTTTTTTTTGGTACCAGAGATCGAACTCAGGACCTTGCTCTTGTGAGGCTTCAAGGCAGGCAGCGCCACCACTGATCTAAATCCCCGGTGCCCATTTTCTTTTTTAATTGTTACATAATTGTATTTAGAAAGTACAGGGTGATAATTTGATACATGTACACGATTTTGGAACAGGCTTTCTTGAGGGGCTTCTCTATGGGTTGTGCAAAAAGCTGGTCCACAGTAAATACTTCACTGAATGCCAGGTGCATTATAACAGGGTTATTTGAATACCAGGGGAATATAGGAAGCCAGAGACAGTATCTGAGGAACTCAGTAGTGAAGGTTGCTCTTAAAAACAGTGATGCATTTGTATAAGAATGGGGAGAAGGGAATATACAGTGATACTGTGTGGGAGTGTTGAAGTGATAAGGCAGGGAGTTAGGGTGTGCCTGGCATGGTCTATCCTAAGGTGGAGTGACAGAGAGAGAGAGAGAGAGAGAGAGAGAGAGTGTGTGTGTGTGTGTGTGTAAACATACAGAGGAAGAAGGGCCATAAAAAAATGTGTGGTGGAATGCTAAGGTGGAGAGGTGCTCATGAGAAGTGATAAGAGAGTAGAGTGAAGTTGAAGGTGCACAGAGAGACCATGCTAAGTGGACTAACGGGCTGGGTGGATGCACAGGTTTGGTAGGCCTGTGCACTGATTAGAGAACCAGCTCATCACCCCACTCCACCTCTCTTTGCTCTACAGAAGATGTACGATGGGACACATTCCCCTTAGGCCGCATGCCAGGTCAGACTGAGGACCCAGCAGAGCTTATGCTGGAGAATTATGACACCATGTATCTTTTGGACCAGCCTGTGCTAGAGCAGCGGCTGGAACCCCCATTGTGCAAGACTGGGTGAGTGCCTGTGAAAACAGGATTTCTCACCAACTTTGTCTGCTACTTGTGGGAAGAGAAGGAGACAAAGTGGGGAGGGTAGGTAAGTGACTGGGGGGATAAGTGGCTGAGTGGGCCCTTATATGACCTCTTGCCCTTAGTAGTGGGAGCTAGTGAAGTAGCCACCCCTTGACACCCCTTGAAGTTTCAGTTCAGTTTGTGTGTGTAGTCGGCCATGTGTGGGTGTGTGTGCACACACACATGTATATATGTATGTGTGCATGTGCACCTGCACACATGCATGTGCATTTTTGGAAGAGGGGTCCATAGCTTTCAATAAATTCTCTAAAAAGTTCAAGAACAGATGCTCTAATCTAGCTTCCTTTTGTTCCTGATAAGAAAAGTGAGGCCCAGAAAGGGGACGGAATTTGTCCCAAGATACATGGAATAATCAGTAGGCCTCCTGCACTGTCCCAGCATCTTGGTAGCAAGGCCTGCACAGGGCTCTATGCTTTCCCTCAAAACTCAAGTTTGGAAAAAAAAATCCAAAAAACAATTCAACTTTGGTTCACAGTTGTGGGGGCCTTTGGGTCATCAGGGAGCCGGGAACCAAGTCGCCCTTGATGAGGTGCTATGCTACTAACTCAAAGGAGCCCACCTAGAAGCCTGTACATTCCAGAATACTGGGCCATTGTGACCAGGAGAATCCTATGAGTACCCGAGAGAGACCCCTTCGGGTCCCTGAAGTTGAGAGTCCATCCTGTGTTGTTTGCTTATTCCCTAGGAGATGAGCCTTTCTTATCTGAACATTCTGGGAAAGGGCTCTAGAACTCAAGCCCCATAAGCAGGCCAGGCCCTAGGCAATGCTGTGGATGCTGTCTGAAACCAGAGAACATCAAGCCTCTTAAGAGGTAGCCAGTTGGCAGTGAGATTCACATGTCTAAAAAACTCTTTCTCTCATCCCCAACTAGCCAGGCCTTGTATAAGGCTGGCTTGATGAATACTTGTTTATTAAGGGTGAAGTATGGGCTGGGTGGAGTTGTTGCCCTATACCACCTCTGCTGAAGTGGACCATGCCCACTCCTTGTCTCAGCTCCACCCTTGACTTCTCTATGTAGCCTTGGGAAAGTCCTTTCTCATATCTAGACTTCAATTTCTTTGTTTGTAAAATTGTGGGTTATGGGAGGGGATGGGAGTAGATCATCTCAAAGGGTTTTTTCAGCTGCAGGAGTATGACCATGGATCTGCCGGAGGGGAGTGATGATAGCTTTGCGGATCCAGCTGGAAGAACCTTTGATCTACAGGAAGCAAGAGTATTCTGAGCTGGGCCAGAGAGAAGAGAGGGCAGTTTTCTCCCTTAAGCAGTCTTGAAAATTGTGGGATGGGAGTTGGGCCTATCCCTACAGACCAAGTCTGGCTTTGGGCCCCTTAACTATGTATTAGATGTGGGAGGGATCCAGCCCAGAATCTTCTGGGCCTCTAAGCTCTAGGGCTTTTGGAAGAAGCCCTGTTAAGGCAGCCATTTTCAGTGTCTTCCTGGGGGTGGGACTTCTCTTTTACCTCAACCTAGACAGTTCTGCATGGGTTTTTATGTACTGGAGCACTATATAATGCTCCATTTGAATAGTTCCATACTTCCTTTCCTTTCTTCATCACCTAAGGGAGGGCAGAGCCATTCCTGGACCCTACCTGAAATCGCTTCTCAGATTTGTTGCAATCTCCTCTTTATAAACTAGGCAGGAGGGTAAGCCCTTCCCATAGACACACACATCTCAAGCACTTTTAGCTCCTCCAGAGCCTAAACCTGCATACTTCCCTGACTGACCTCCCACTCTCTCCGCAGCACCCTGGGCCTAAGTTGTGGTGTCGGCAGTGGCAATTGCAGCAACAGCAGCAGCAACTTGGAGGGCCTTCTCTGGAGCCAGGGGCAGCTGCATGGGCTCAAAACTGGCCTGCAGCTATTCTGATGCCTGCGTTAATGCAAGTGTTCATCCATCCCTGCCAGAGCAACAGCCCACCCCAGAGTGCACCTGATCTTCCATGATACAATCTGGGAGACAGCCCAGATCAGCACATCAACTCAGCTTTCTACCACAATAGAATTTGGAATGATTTTTCCCTTTTATTTTGTTTTGAAAAACAATAAAGAGACAACTGTAGTTTTGATACTTGTGAGATGAAGGTATGTATGCCAGGGTAGACCAGTATAGTTCTTCCTTAAGGTACTCCAGAGCAGGCTGGATGATAACAAGGCCTTGAGCAGGAATTGAGTCCTGAGGCCCCGTGGGTCCTCTGACTCTGATTGCTCCCATAGCCAAATTCTACCCATACCTTTTTACCTGGCTCTTCAAACCATTTCTGTACCCCTTACCTGTAGTGTGCAGTCAGTTCACCTGGAAGCATGAGGCTCCAGAGGAGAGGCATTGCTGGTCAGAGCTTAGCTGGCAACTGCAGTGTGTTTGTTGTGGTTAGGTTGCTCAGAGCTTTCCTGACAGTGGGAAGAAGACTCAAGTTTTCCTGTTCAGCTCCTCACCTGCCCTCAGTGGATACCAAACAGTAGTTGAAACCCAGAGATATGCCTTTCTTTGTCACTTCTCTTTTGCCCTAGAAGAAAAAGAGTGGACTTTCCCTGCAGTGGGCATTAGAGCCAGAAAACTGTCCTAGGGACTGACCCAGAGCCACTTCTCTATTGTCACCTAATCCCTTCAGACACTCTCTTAATTTCAGAGTGTCTACCTTATGTCAGCCCTGAGCTACCAAGAGATGGGGGATGAATAAACCATATTTTCACCCTTGGTGCTGTCAGCCTGGTGAGGAAGGACAGATTTACTAAGTAATAACCTGTTACCTCTGCTAAGTGCCTGACGGAATTTCTCTAGATGGTTGTGCCAAGAAATTCTGTCTCCATAATTATGTTATAAAAACGTATAAGACTTATGTTATAAAAACACCCAAGAAAGAATTTGGCGGAAGTGCTATGCCAGAGCCCAACCAAGGGTTTTTTGTTTGGGGGCACTGGGGATTAAACACAAGGCCTTGTATGTACTAGGGAAATGTTTTACTACTGAGCTACATCCCTGACCCTTTAATCAAGGATTTTAGCTTGAGTTAGGACCCCTAGGGAGTCCATAAAGCCTGAAAAGATATATTAAATACCTTGGCAGCTATGTGTACATTATTTTTCTAAGGAGCTAGCTCATAACTTTTATTGTCAAAGGGTTTCACAATCTCACCAGCTCAAAAAGGTTGAGATTTCTTTTCTTATATGTACCCAAGCATTAGGCATGGGCAAAGCAGTTTTGTGTATTTGTTAACACAAAGTAAGTTTCTGTCTAACTCTTCCCTCTCCCCTCACAATGTCAAAGGCTGAAATTTTCCTGGCGTATTGCAGTGTCAGCTGGAAGAGTTCTCAAAGCATCTAGGCCTTCTAGTGAAGGTATTTGAAAATGTGTGCTCTGGTTAGATATTCCAGCGCCTGAGGAGGTGGGTGCCAAAATTTCTTGGCTCCTCTCCACCACTTCACCAGAGCAGCCCTGACTTTATTGTGTATGTATTGAGATCCTGTATAAGATTTCTTTTGAAAGATGGAGTTTGCTGTTAAAATAAGGTTTGGTAAATCAGTTTTAGTCTTGCCCTTTTGTTTGAAATACATCGAGACCCTGAGGCAGACAAAAAAGGGAAGGAGTTTGCCCATAGCCACAGCAGTTATTGGGTTGGTATAGATCTGTTTTCTTGCAACTTCAGCATTGCTTGAGTTCTTTGAACCCCATCATTCTTTCTGAATCAGAAAGGTGAAGATGGACAACAATCTGGTCTAGTAGGTGTAGATGTTTCAGGTGATTTTGATACACACCAAAAGTTCAAAATGCACTGGTAGAAGTTGCCCAAAGGCCTGCGTTCCAAGCAAGCTCCACCTCATAATGGGAGCAAGCTTGGGAAAATCATGCCATACTTTTTCATTTGTAGAAGGATAATATTTGTCTTACAGACTTGTTGTAAGGATCAAAACAGGTAATGGACTTGAAAGTGATGTCTAAAACAGCATATTTTATATTGGTGAGTTATGGGGATTCCTGCCAGGATTGGTGAGTCTCAACTCAAGACTCAGGTCCCTATATAACCCAAGATGATGCTTTCCCCTGGACCTCAAAAACTGAACTATAGATAAAGAGCAGACTGCTTGAGCCCATTTCTAGTTCAGAACTGGAGAAAGAGCCAAGGATCACTGACTGGATTCCTGAAACCTAGGAATTGTGAGGACAGGTCCAAGGGTTTCAGATGGTAGGAGTAGAAGTGGGCATGCAGTTATGAGGAAGTAACTTTAGTGCTCTTGCACCCATCCTTTCTTATTGGAGAGCAGGGACTGATTAGAAGAGTTTTAACTGCATCTGTTTAAATGGGAAGCAGTGAGGAGGTGTCAAGGAAAAAAATTATTCAACAGTAGTAATCAAGACCCCCCTCTCACAGGACATAGTTCATCAGAAATGAACTCCCTGTTTTGTGGTACAGACTGCCAACAAAATTACAATCAAATGGTAAGTGCTAAATGAGAAATGCCCAAGAATTCTGCAAGGCCCAGAGGAGAGAGACAAACAATGTCTGAACCAGTAGTTGGAACTGCTTGTTAGAGAGGTGACATTAGGTACTGGGTCTTAAAAGGCAAGACTTTAGTCAGAACAAGGAATAAAAGGAAAGCCAAAGTCAGAAAAACTTGAGAAAAAACATGGTTAGGGGCACCAGAACAATTTCCAGGATAACTGGAACATGATGCAACTGGGTAAGTCATGAAGCCGGAGGGGTGAGTTGTAGAGTGCTATGTCCAGACCAGCAGAATTTTCATCTATGATTAGGGAAGAAGCATTGAACATTAAATTGTTCCCTCTTGGAATTCTAATTGTTCTTAGCACTATCCGTACACTCATACTGCCATTGTCTTCAGAGGACTCTTAATTTTTTATTCTGTGTGTGCTTCATTCCACCACTAGAGTGCAAGTTCCCCCAAACAGGATCTGTATTAGCCTAGTATAGGCCAGGTGCTGATTTGGTATTAAGAACTTGATAAAGATGCCTGAGGAATGTGAGAAGGGGGAGCAAGAGAAAAGACAGAAAAGAAAAAGGGTGGGAAGAAATGAGTACTCTTAGTCCTACGGAGGATGACTTTTAAAAAGAAAAAAGATCTCAAGTTCACAAATAGCTCCTTGCAAAGACTCCACTGCAGCCACTGTGGCCACCTGTCTTTAGAATGAGACTGGCCTGGAATGGGGTGGGGAGTGAATAGGAGGCTCCAGAGAGGTCTGAGAGATGATGATAAAGGGTGTACTGATCTGGGAGTTGCAAGGCGTGGCCTCCCAATATTGCTGTTATTAATTCTATTGGGCCTTGGTCATATCTCCTTAACACTCCCACTAGGGCCTCATTTCCTGCAAAATAACTTGAAAAGGGAGTATGCAGCATAGGGTGCTGTGCTGCTTCTGGCTCTGATATTCTGACTAAGGTTCCACAGATGATGTCCCTGTGGCCTTGAGGCTATTCAGGGAGAAACTACAGTCTGAGTACACAAGTCTGGGCTGAGCCTACCACCTCATTTTGACCCAGCAATGCAAGCCAGCCCTGCCTTGGAAAAAAAGCCAGTTAGACCCACACTTAGTATACTATTAGTGTAGGAGTTGTGTTAGTCTTCAAAACTTAGAGGGTGTAGACTTACTATGGTAAAACTCAGATGAACTCACTTGGGATAGGGATCACCCTTTACACCTTATCTCAAGATGCAAACTGCCAGGCAGAAATTTAATGTTCTAGAAACAAAGTAAAGTAGGTATATATATGTATTTGTGGTATGGCTTTTGTTAATGTTCTTAAAGAAAGAGTCATCAGTAGTTAGTAAACAAATAGTTTATGCAATAAGTGTGGTTACAATTCATTGTTGTCAACAGTACAGCATTTTCTATTACGATTATAGGTGAAACAAAACCTTATGAAATAGTCATAGCACATTCATGCTAGTGAGAACATATTACAGAGCATCGCACATGCATTATGGGGGCAGATGAAGCTAGGGAAAAGATATTTTTCACTCACCTCTGGTTGGCTTTGTGTACTTTGTCATTGAGACTTACATTATGTTTGGGTCAAACAAGAAACCCAAAGAGGTTTTGTAAAAGTTTACAACCATTAAACGGTATTGTTTAATCCCACAAATGGATAAACCAAACTACTATAGCTCAATGATACACAAACCAGGACTAAAAATAGTCAATCTGCTTATGTATATAGCTAGTTATAATACAATAGATATTGAATATGCTGAATCTTTGCAAAGGCATTGACTACTTTAGACAATCAGATACCAGAATCAATCAGATACTGGTTTGTTTTCCAGTGAAAATTAACTGTAGTGCTATTTCAGTTGAAGACTGTACTCCCCAGTATGAAACCTGAGGAGAAACAAACTAGGGGAGGACGGAGAAGGGTTAGGAGACCTGAGCAGGGCTCTTTGGACAGTTCAGCATTACTTTTCCCTGTGCAGATCCAGACCTGTTTCACAGAGTAAAACAAAATATTGAAATTATTGGCCCTCAAAAAGGGCATTTGTACAAAGTCCCTTACTTACAGTATAGATAGAATGATAACTGAGTGCCTCTCAAAATGAACTCTTCTATGTTAGAAGAAAACTCGGTGACAAAGGTTTAAGGATACCAAGATTGAATTACTGTATAAAGATAATTTATTCCAAAATAGAAAAAAGTGAATTTAAAAGAAGTATTCTAGAAACTGGCAGGGGTCAGGGAGACAGGGGAACAGGGAGAGAAGAAAATCATGCTATGTGTTTCGTTATTTAGAAGAGGAAAATTTCATAGACCATTTCTCTAAGGCAACTCTCTTATCTGCCATTCTCTATTCCATACCTGGCACTTTAAGAGAAAGTGCAGTGGTTCAATGTTACCTTTGAAAAGCCTCCTTTTCCTTTGAGCTGTTTTATATCAAGAGTTCCCTGGATTGACTATGCCACACCGGGTCCCATTTCACCTTATGTCAAAATGTGTTCTCACAACAAAGTCACAAAAAAAAATCACAAAACTACAAAATCTAAGGCAAGGACTTGCTATGAGGTCAGAAAATCAGTGAAATAATTAAAATTACAAACACTTCTTGCCAAATGTTCTAGAAACCACACAAAACACTGCAGTAACCCTGCTGAGTTCTTGGAGGCAAATATCCTGAAGGATACATGCTCAGCTCCATGAAGGGAGTTTGATTTCATTTTCAAGGGAGCCAAGGGAATCCCAATGCTCTTTGTTATTTGCTGTTTTACAACTACAGACAAAATGGAAAAGAAGTATGCAGACCTCAATATAAAGCAATTGTTTCTCTAATAACTAAGAAGCTTCATTTATGCATTCATAGTTGTATAGCTGCATTATAGATTCTTGCAGAGGATTCATTAACACATAGTTTTTACACAAAACCCCTTTTATAAGGACATATTAAGTCTGATAGGCTAACAAGAACATATGCAATGCTTGAAATTATGCACACAATAACTGTGTGCCTAATAGTAAAAAGGCCTTGAAAAATTATCTGTCTATAAGCCACCACTGCCCTTTGGAAATAAAAGCTCTCTCCTAAACCCTGGGCTACTTCCCTGTGACCCTGTGACACACAGTGCCACAAACATCAGGAGAAAATTCAGTACCAAACCCTAGTTTAAGGTGAGTTTTGTACATTTATTTCTATGCAATCAGGAAAAAAAGATACAATTTGTATCAACAGAAGGTCATTTCTGGTTATTTGAGGCATTGCTCCTAGCTACTTTGGTTCATACACATTTTATGAGAGAAGAATGACAATTTGTTTTAGAAAATAAAAGATACATATAGTGCATTAAGAATATTTCCTGTATTGGGAAGAGCTCACAATTATTTTGAATACTAAATATGATTGTGTTCAAGATGAATTGCAGACAAGATTGATCTTGTGCTTTCCTATAAATTGTGCAGTGAGTGGATACTGCAGTGCCACTCGATGATTTTGGTAGAAAGATTAACCAATTGGCACAAAAGCATTAGAGTAATCTAAGGTCAAATACCATGATCTAGATGTGAGACAATTTAGAAAGTCCAAGACATTGAAGGTATGAAGAAGTGTTTGTGTGAAATAGCAAGAACTAATTATCACTCTCTGGACCTACTTGATAAGAAAATACTTTTATACTTCATCAATATGCTGAGGGATGGAATGATTATAGAGGTTAGGAGATGAATAGGAAGCTGTGGAAGTGAAGAGAAACACCAGTTAAGATGCAGTATTGATCAACTTGGACAGAGAGCCAAAAAGCAGCATGCAAGCCATTATCAAACCCCAGAAATAACCTTGACTACAGCCTCACATTCAGAGTGTTTCACAGTAAGAAACATTTATAGGCAGCGTCACACCTTCTCATGAAGAAATAAAAGGCCAAGGCCAGGCCTTCTCAACTTTCATGAAAAAAACGACCATAGAAGTTACCAAGTGCCAGCTCAAGAAATAGTGAGCTGGTCATGGTTCAAAATATTGAAATATACAATGGATTCAAAAAGGAGCTTCATCCAGTGCAGCTTAACAAACCAATAGACACCTCTTTCTAGAGGCATTTAGCTACAAAGGTTCCCACCCTGAGCAAAATACAAATTGCGCAAATGGTGCCACCCAACCCAAAAATCATGCCTTCTTGATTAATGCATCTAAGAATTATCTAACAGCAAGTGCACTCTTTGAGTGGATTTGAAGTGTATAACTGAGCCAGCTATTAGCAAAGATGCAACATTCCCTTTTGGAAGCTGCTTTTCTTCCACCTAGAAAATCCCCTGGTTTTGTTTCCTAAAGAAATTCTGCTTTAGCAGTGATTGACCTTATTGCCCAAAGGGTGGGCATCAGGAGAAAGCAGATTACATGGCTATACACTGTCCTCCATTATATTTTATCCTGTGATGTTTAATACTGCATAGGCCAGAAGTCCAAAAAGCATCCATTAGTCCCTCCTTGCGTGAAGCTTTTTTATTTTCATTTACTGTCACATAGGTTTGGCCATCTTTCATGGGATATGGAGAGTGGACTTTGGTAGTCAGTCCTTTGGTTCTGGTCAGACTCTTCTGCACTTTTGTAGCACATACATACTATGTGTGGAATTTGAACTTACTTAGCAGCTCCTCTACAGAAGGCTTCAACCTGACCCCTAATGTGCTGAGGTGAAGAAACTTAGAAGCTAAGAACTGTTAATAAATGCTGGCAAGTAAAAAGGAAATAAAAAAAATAAAGCTGGTTTGCTCTAGTGCCTAAGGAAGCAATGTTCAAATATTAGCACATAATTTCACATTCAAATCGAGTTGAAACTATGAAATACGACAAAATCATTCAGTCAGATTCATGATCTATACAGCTATAGACTAAGACTCTAGAGCAACCTCAAAGTCACTATATAAAAGTTATACCAGAGATATACACACATCTCAAACTAAATATATAGACTCATACATGCAATATAATTGCTAATGATAGGATTTAAATACAGCTCTAGAAGCTTCAGTGTGACCCTATGGCTTAATTAATAAAGATTGAATTATCAGATATCCATGCAATAAAGTATGTATTTACTTTTAAATAGCTTTAAATATTTTTATTGAAACCCTAAAAGGTTAATTCAGCACTCTATTTGACCTTGATGCTTTTGCTCTCTAAATTGGTATGTCATCCATACTTTGTAACACAGAACATGTGGTTAAGAAAGCGCTGGTAATAAAATCCCTTGGGATTTCTTGTACTTAGGCTTCTTCCCCTGGGTTTCATCTTCCATTACCTGCAATGGTGCAGTGCAAAAGGGCAAGAAACTTGGAGTCAGGATTTGGGTATTCGTCTTGACTTGGTCATTTGCTAGCAGCATAAACATTGCAGTCACTTAAATCTTACTGAGCTTCAGCTTCCTTTTCTATGAAATAGGATGTTAATACAACCTACTTTACAAGGTTGTTGTGAGCTTAAATGATGTAAACATTCTGTAACTTTTAAAGCGCAATGTAAATCATTAGTTACTGTAATCATAGTATTAGTGTATTATTAGTATTAATATTTATATGTATATAAAGGACTAAGTCCTGTGTCATGTCAACGTGCAGCTCTAAGCTTCGCAACAATCAAAGCTGCCAATTGCTGGGCATCTGATGTGTGGGGATTCTTCTCCATCACTGCAAGAACAATATTAGAAGGGAAAATATTGCAAAGGTTCTTGTAAGTCTGATATTGGTGCTCTGGAATCATATGCTCCCTGGAATCATTGCACATTCCAACCCAAGGATTCCTCCAAAGCTGCTCCATCTTTTCAGGCATGCTCCGTACCATGACTGGCTCATAACATGGCTGCATGAGGCTGTTACTTAAGGGACAGGAGTGATAGCCATAGGAATCAGTTGCACTGGGCAGTGGATCCCAGCTGGCATGCTGTTCCCGGCACAGAGGAGGTCGTCTTTGCCTCAAGGGGTTGCTCTCATACAGTCGGGAATCAGAAATGCTGTCCATCCGAGTCATTACTAGAGCACGGCCTGGCTGGGAGGTTGCCCCAGGTTGAATATTGGGAGGCATGGCGTAGTCTCCAGGACAGCTGGAGCGTGCTCCAGTTGCTGAGTGCTGGGCATGCAGAGCTAAGTGAGGGACTGACTGCTTGTGGGGGCCTTGCTTGGAATCCTCTGGGCCATAACTTTGCACTCTAGTTAAGGCTTCATGGTAACCATGAGAAAAAGGCTGAAGACGGTTCTGAGATGCTGAACGGTGCAGCTTCAAACTGCCTTCAGGATGGGCATCAGCTACAGCCAAGTACAGATTGTTGTAAGAGGAATAGTTGTCATTCCTGGTGTGGGTCATAAGACTGTCAGGACAGAAGTTGGGATTCCAACTATACATGCCCCGATCTGCTTCAGCCATGTAGTACTCTCTGTTATGCATGCTGTTGATGTTCAGTTTGGCGAAGTCACCTAACACTGAATAGTAGCTATGGTCCCCCATAGATTCAAACTTTGGGTATTGCTCAGTGTAGTTAATTGGGGTCCCATGGCTGTTGGTAACCAGGATAGGGGGGTACTGCATGCTGGCCATGTGCTCCAAAGAGGCCTTCTGGTGGGGGAAATGAGAGGATCCTGGCACCGGGCTGCTGGCCGAACGGGTGTTTAATGCACCCACTGCATGGCTTTTGGAGGGTGGGATTGTGGGGACACTCAGGGCAGTCACAAGAGATGGGACAGAGCTGGCCTCAGGCTTTCGGGCAATGGACAGCCATTCCTCAGGCTCCACAGCCACAGACCGGATGCTGGGATCTGACTGGCGCTTGGGTGCCACACGTTTTACCTCTGAGGTTATCTCACCTTTGACACTAGACATCCCTGTACCACACTTGGCCAGGGTGCCTTCGCTCATGGTTTTCACTGTGGACAGTTTGGCACTGATGCGGAGCTCATCAGCCACCGAACGCTGGGGTTGGTTGGCCCGCTCCGGATGGTAGTATTTGCACTTGTGCCCGTAGGTGCATTTTTTGCCTGAAAAATAATGCCTTGGGGTAAGACTCTCTCTCATAGTGTTACAAGGCTCTGTGCCAGAAACTGCTGTAACAATTTGGTCACAGAGGTTAGGATTATACTTTTTGACATGGAGATAGAAAATTAACTGTCCACAAAGATGAGAGACAGACAATACCAAGGAGGCATCACACACTGTGAGGGGAGAAAGAGGAAGTGGAAAGCTGGGGAGGAAACTGAAGTGTAAACACTAAGAACTGAATGGTTGAACAGCCTTAATTTTTCTGGTAATGTACAAATTTGCCTCTGTATAATCTACACATTGAGGCAGCCTAGAGTAACAGATGGAAGCATGGTGCAATGCAAATAGCACAGGCTTAAAGACCAGTCAGATCTAAGTTTCAGTGATATCCCTTACTGACCATATGACCTTGGTAAGTGACTATTTTCGGAGCCTCATTTCCTCTTCTATAAAAAAGCTTCCTAATTGTGGATGTTTTAGGGTAATTTTAACGATGAAATGAGATAATGAACATGAAACTACTCTGCAATTTAAACATTAATAGAAAACAAAAAGCAATCCCCCCATAAAACCACAAATGATTATCCATAATAGTCTCAAACTAAACAGGGCCAGGGATTTAGCTCAGTGGTTTCGCCGCCTGCTGTGCAAGCTCAAGGACCCGAGTTCAATCCCTGGTACCAAAAAAACCAAAAAAACCCACTAAACAAACCATGTTGCCCTGTTAGTACCACAAACTTGGGACTTGGGTAAGAACAGAAGTTCAGTATAGAAAACTATGTTTTTGAAAAAATGAAAATGAAACTTGGAGGCAACTGGAAAGTACAGACGAGAAGAAAAGGGTTGACTAGGTGACCGAAGACATGCTTTCTTGGATCCAAATTCAGTCTGTCATTCTCTTTCTGTTTCCATAGGTCAAGCAAGTTTCTGCATTTCCCTGTTCCAAGCAGCACTGCTTAGTACTTAGGCAACTAGAGCTTATGTGCCATTTTAGGAAGTGACAACTAATCTTCCCTTCAATTCCAGTTACCTTTTCCTCATTCAGTTTCTAAGAAGTTTTTCTAAAATACCTGAGGGTACATGCAGATAAAAACTTTAACTCATAGAAAGGGAACAGGTTAGGATTTCCCATTTAAAAGCAAAATCTAGAAAACAAAAGTATTCAGAGTCCTTATGTTTCTCTTAGTACAGAACTCAGTTCTGCACATAGGTACTCACCATAAGGACATGGTTGCTTCTTATGCTCAGGAACAATAGGTCTTCTTCTTAAGAAATTTTCAAGGCTTGGGCCATGGCGTCCTAAAGGATCATCTGGAGGCATAAATCTGAAAGCAAGCAAGCAAGGGTGAATTTCTTCCCTTATATCCCTTTTCCAGAAGTTCAGACCTTCATTGCCTCTTGTCTGTACTATTGTTACAGACTTCTAATTGCCCTTCCTGCCTCAAATCTATATTCTGTTAATTTATCAGTTCTTTCTTTTGTTCCTACCTGATCACCTAGAAAGGATGATTTTTCTCCAGTGCATCATTCTTTCATAGATTATATGTTACAGCCATACTGGTATTCCTGCTTGGTTTCCTCAATATGCCATCCCCTTTTACACCTTCATAGCTTTCTTCATAATGTCCCCTTCACCTGGCATACCCAGAAGCCTTCTTCACTCTGTAGACTTTATTTCAAGTGTCATTTCCTCTGGGAGGACTTTTGCTTCACATATACACAGCAATTTAAAAATACATTAACTGTAATGCCCATTCGACACAATGTGGTTGTCTCTTTCTCTTTTCCACTACACTTTGAGCCTCTTGAGAGTGAGGGGTTTTTTTGGTTTTTGTTTTTGTTTTTTTGAGACAGGGTCTTGCTATGTAGTTCAGGCTGGCCTTGAACTCACTATGTAGCCCAGGCTGGACTCAAATTTGCAGCAATCCTCCTGCCTCAGCCTCCCAAGTGGTGGGATTACAGGCATACGCCACCATGCCCAGTGAGACTGAGTTTCTTATTCAATTTTTATTTGCATGACAACCAGCATAATGCATGGTACAGACTACGTGTTCAGTAAATGTTTATCAAAATGAAATGAAATCTATTCCTACTAGTAACTTGGATATAGACCATTCAGAGCCTACTGGAAAGAAACGCACTTGTCATTCACAAAAGAATACATCAGCAACCGCTCCTCGATAAACTTCTTCCATTCTGGCTTTTCGACTTGAAGGTCTCGGTAGTTGTCATTGGACACAATGATGCCATCAGAATCAAATGCTAATTTAACTATGAATCGGTCATCATAGCATACAACCCTTCTGCCCTGGACCCTTCGGGAAGGTGTGAAGACTAGAATTTTTTCCTTCTCCAGTTTACGAAGAATATCTTGTTCTGTCAAAATATGATTATATGGCACAGAATAGAAATCATCAGTTAACAGCATTATTGCCATACTACAAATACAGAAGTTTACTACTAGATAAATTTGTTATTTGCCCTAAAGGAGTAAGTGGGTTCCACTCTCAGCTATGACATCAAATTGAATTGTGACATTAGGCAAGTAACATCCTTCAGACTTTAGTTTTCTTTTCAATAAAATGAAGGACTCAAATTAAATAATGTGTAGGGTTTTTTTTTTGTGCAGGGGATCAAACTCGGGACCTTGAGCTTGTGAGGGAGGCGGCGGCACTACGGAGCTGAATCCCCGGCCCTCGTTTGTACTTTTTTAAAAACTACAATGAAAAGTGAGGAATGACACTCATATCCTAGCGTTTTCACTTTTTGTTTTTGCCCTTTGGCTGAAACATCAGCTTTTCTTATTTTTCTTTTCTGTTTTATTTGCTTTGCTTTGTTTCCTTTCTTTTCCTTCCTTCCTTCCTTCCTTCCTTCCTTCCTTCCTTCCTTCCTTCCTTCCTTCCTTCCTTCACAGTTTTGGGGAAGCTCTACCACTGAGCTACATCCTCAGCCCAAATACCAGATTTTTGGCTTTGGACGGAAACGGCAATAGCTGAAGATATTTTCATCAGGAGGAGAGTAAAGCATCACTCTTAACAACTGATATTTTTGGCCTCTGCTTGAAGAAATGCTAAAGCTAAAGTGGAACATCAAGCTGTACCAGTTGAATATTGAACCACTTTCCTTTTGTTCTCCTAATTGCTTGAGGAGAGAAAGCTTGCTGGCTGGGCTTGAGCAGGGCCAGGATCTGCTCTTAGACTGAGTCTTGGGAGCCTGTTCAGCACATGGTAAATCAGATAGCCAAGCACTGGATTTTTTCATTAGGCACGTAAGGCAAGAGCAGTTATTCAGAGGATTGGGGTCTATATGCTCTCAAAGAACATATATTACATGTACTGTTTTAAATGAATACAGTGACTCTTATTGCCATTAGCAAGAGTGCATCACGATTTCTGCAGACCTTAGGCACTTCTGCCTTCATTAACTCCTTTTTCCATACTGGAATATTAAAAATTTCATTTTAGAAATTACATTGGTATAAGGCCAAATATAATCCAAATAATTACAAATTACTATACATTCATTGTATTATATTCAACTTTTCCTTTTGATGTGAGAAGAAAATAAAAATATTTGTGGGACTTTACACATCATTTCTAGGCTCTGGGCCTACTGTGCCACATGGAGAAGTTGCTTCTGACTGTCTCAGAACTTTTCTTTTTCTCTTTCATTCCCTAATTTGAAAACCTCATAATCACTTCTTGGTTCAGAATAATTTTCACTTTCTACAATGGTTTCTGAAAAACTGAGTAATATTTATAACCAGATTCATCTCCCTGTAGTCTAAAGACTGTGATCAAGTACAAAAGAACTCTTTTTAAACTATGTGTCTCATCTTTTGCTGAATTGAGGTTGTCTCTATTTAGCTATCATATACTACAAAACAATGATGAAAATCCACTTAATAAAAGAGATTTTAAGTATACTTAACAACTTAGAAAAATAATTTCCTAAATTGGGACCATCATACCCTCTCCAAACTATTTGACTAACTTTGACTCTAAATAACAAGAAATGAGGGACTTAGCTCAGTGGTTCTGGCACCTGCCTTGCAAGTGTAAGGTCCCGAGTTTGATCCCCGGTACCAAAAAAATAAATAAAATAAATAAATAAATAACAAGAATGTGTCATTTGAATTAATACCTGTAATTGGTGCATCAGGGCGGGATTGCTCCTTTCTCCATGCAGGCACAAATACAGTGATATCTTTATGACCTTTGTCTTGAAACCAATCCACAGCAAGTTGAATTCCTCTACAGGAGAATTCTTCTTTATTCCCATGGCTTTAGAAAAATAGAGAATAAGAGGCAAGAGGATTGACAATAAATAGCAAACAGGCCTTTTCTTAGTATCAAGGGATTAACAACACTCTCTTTCTTCATGATACCAAAGAATGTATACTTAAAAGAGCAAATAAAATTCCTTATATTCAGTTGTTACAAATATTGCCATTATAAACTTTACTCAATGCCACAAGTGGCTAATAACAACTCCCATTTTATACCACCATGGTAGTTATTTTTTATTATTTATTTCATTTTCTCTATTATCTCCTATTTCTCCTGCCACATTTTCAAAGATTCAGATATTCACAACAGATAAAAAAAGAAGACATTTTACCAGAGGTTTAGATAAAGTTTATATGGAGTATTAGTGAGAGATGAATCTTAAACACATATATTAAGCTTCAAAAATTACAATGACAGCAAAAACACACATACATACCAGTAAATGCTGACATGATAATGGGAAACAGGGACATAGATCTTTTGCAAATGGGAAGGAGACAAAGAGACCTTGGGAGGAAGGAGAGTGGAAGAGGAAGTAAAAAGAATTAAAATGTGTTATTCACATGTACCTACTCCTCATGATAACTGTAATCATTATGCACTGTAAATATGTAATAAAATGCTGATGGAAAATATTTATCACATATATCCATTTAATTATAAACAATATATCAACAAAATCATATTGTTGAGTTTTTTAGATGTGAAAATGTTTGTAATTTTAAAAGAAAAAAGATTTAGTTATGTGTGTATGTATGTATGTAATTTAAGTATGCATGTATTTAGGTATGTAATTGCAACTGTTTTTGCAATTGGATCTTGCTACTTTGTCTAGGTTGGCCTTGAACTCTTGAGCTCAAGCAATCCTTCTGCAATTACATACCTAAATACATCCCCAGTGAGTACCATAAAGCAACTGTATTACTCTACTCAAAGTTGAAAGCTCTTAAGAAAAAATAAGAAGGAAAATACATTCATCAGCCAATACATGCCAAGGTAGCCTTAGAAATAGCTACTAATGATTGCATTTAAGAAACTGAACAAGAGCAACTAAATTGGAAAAATCACCAGAACTACCATTTAGAAGAGGAATTTGGAAGAAAATGGAATTTTATTTCTTTTGGCTTTGCATGTCTATAATGTATGGTCTTACCCTAAACATAGTCTAGATCCAGAAATTAAACAGGAATAATAGTTTCTGTTGAACACTCCACCTTTATATTTATATTGCCAAATTCTTTCTTTAAAATATTTCCATCATTACAAACATATATGCTTATAGTATAAAATGTGAAAAATACTCAACATATAAAGGAAAACCCCAAGATCCAACTGTTTTACTACTATCCAGAAACACTGTTAGTTTCTATTCTAGTATCAATTTCTTAATATACTGAAAATTATGTTTTAATATGTACCATACTATAACATCCCAAAAGCATATATTAAAATTGAGTTATTGAAGCATTCCATGAGGCACATTAAATACCCAGTAAGAATCAGAAGGCGCTTTTAACATTTATCAAGGGGGCAATGCAGACCTACACAAGGGCCTAGTATGTTAATTTTAGTACCCAATAAATATTTAAGAAACTAAAAATTTTTAAATGTGTAAAATACAGTAATGCTTTCAAGATGACTGTTTTGCTCAAATCATGGCATTTTGCAATTTAAAAAGTATAAAAAGCTTAGGACCTGAAACTCACATTGTATTTTGGTGATGCTATAGCTCACTATCCTGTAAACTTGCTTAAAAACACATCATGATGCAGGCTTCTAAGCAAAATTCAGCACAGCAGATGAGTCATTGGACTTTCTCTCTCTGTAATGGTTTTAGTAGAGTTTAAATGTTTGAGCTTTTCCAAGACTTAGCAAAGAATATAGTGACTTTTACAGTTCAAAATCTTAATTCCTATGAAATGGATTTTTCCTCTCAAAGGAGACAACTTTCAACCTGAATGTTCCCTTTAAGATTTTAGCATAATATCTGAGCATATTCACAGTATGTGAATCATAGATACCCCACTTCTGGAAATATTAACTGCCATCAGTGGCAAACAGCATCATAATTCCAACACAAGGTTATCCAACATGATAAGAAACAACATGTTACATGATAGTTTGTCTGAGAAATAATCTCTCAGTAAACTTACAGTTAACTAATGGAGAAAGTAAACAAAATTTAGATTAGCGGCAATAAAAAATTCATAAGCATATTATAGCACTGAACACTGACCATGTGAAATGTGAATAAAGTGGATTTAATAATAACTTATCTGGTCAGATAAAAAAGGAAAAAATCATGGTCTTTATGCAATATTTTAATATGTTAATAAAAATTAACCATGTGAAGCACCTTTAATTTATCAAATCAACACATACAGGATAAAAAAGTACATTTTTCTGTAAGTATGATTGAAGGAATCTAATCACTGCCATCCTGGTCTGAGCAGAGACCACTTTGAATTCCTTCTCCCTGCTATGCTTTTACACCTGCTGCACATGTATAATCACGGGTCAATAAGGCCCAGTAAGTACAGCTACACCCTATAATTCCCACTCACTGTTCAGCCCTGCTCTTGACAAACAACATACAACTACTTGTATGTTCTTAAGCCCTGTGCCTGACAGATAGCCACAACTCCTTGGTACTGAACTACTGAACTCTCCCCCGGAAAGTCCCATTGTGACTTTTCCCTTCCATAACCTCCCTTTTTTGTGCTCATGACCCTACAAATACCTTATAGCCTGTATGAGAGCAGCTCATCTGGTCTCTACTGCCAGAATGGTCCCTCTTAGGTTTGTTCTGAAATAAACCTGTCCTGTTGAGCTTATACCTCTGTTTCTCTTCCTTTTTCCTAACAATGATCATTTGTTAATGAAACAGAGTAGATATGATGAAACATATTGCCCAAGGAAGTAATCTCTTCATTATTGTTCACAAAGCAAAAGAAACATAGTGTTCTTTATTGTCAATGATTTTTGAACAGAAGTCAAAAGAAATTAATTTATTGTATATTAATATTACTGATCTCTATTAATTGTGGTATAGTTGTTGCATTTAATTGGGTTTTACTCTGTATCCATATCTGGTTTGTCTTTGTGTCATCAACATTACTAAGGAATGTTTTCTACTATTTGAGTGGTGCTTCTGGGGATCAAATCCTCAAAAGAAGTCTAAACATTAAGAACACCCTCAAATAAAAGTGGAAGAGATGTCCATAATTGATCAGTAACTGAATGTAAAGGTATTGAAGTGGATGAAATGACAAAGAATTCAAAAGACTGATTTTTAAATGATCAAGGACTTCAAGAAGGGTAAAAATAAACAGCTGAATGAATTAAAGAAGACAATGCAGGATGTGAAGAAGCAATTCAACAAAGAGATAGAAATAGAAGACTCTGGGAAGATGGCAGAACGGTAAGCAGGAACAAATTAATCTCTCCAAGATTCAGAATCTAGACAATGGAAAAATAACTTGAGGAAGAGAAGGGGGGAGATAGATTCCTGGGACCCAGGAAGGACCTGAAGGGAAAATTGGAGCCCACAGAGAAAGTGAAGAGACAGACTTCAATCAATGCAGAAAAAGGAAGGGGCATTCTACACTTTCTCCCAAGCTTCTGATTCATAGTGAGAGAAAGGAAGATAAAAATCTACAAGACACAGTGAAAATATGTGTCTTCAGAGGTCTCCAGGGAAAAAAACACCAGTGGAATGGAGCAATGTATGCTGTATGCTACAACAGCTGGTGATTCCAATCCAAGTGACTCTAGTGTCCACTGGAGACAGTGCTTGGTTAGATGTCATTTTAGGGAGGGGCAAGCTGAACTTGGATCTCACAACAACCACAGGCTGCCTGCATCTCAGGACGCTGTGTTAAAAACACCCAGTGATTGATTGAGGGACAACCACAGGAGATGTCCAGGGTCACAGGGCCATGGTCAGGCCAGCAAGAGACACCCAAAGTGTTATAAGCTAGTGATGCAACTCAGCCCGGTGACAAGAGGACAAGATCACCCTGAACTTCTGTGAATTTAAAAGTACCAGAACCAGCAGCTTGCACTAGTACAACTGCAGGCTTTCTAGGATTACCCAGCATCCCACCTTAATCCTACTGCAGACTTCCTGGGATTATCTAGCACAGATCTGGGCTCTGACTGTCTCCCTTGCCTACCAGTGACAACAAAGCCACATACTGAACTGGACACTACTACAGAACTTTAGATCCCAGAAGATAATCACAGGCTTGAAATCACAGCAAAATTTATTTTTTCTTCACTTTTGGGTTTTGTTTGTATTTGGTTTCTTTTTTTTTTTTTCATGAGTGTGAACATTGATTTTAGTTGTTTTTAGTTTTTTTTATTCTTGTTTTTGTTTTTTCCTTCTTTATTTCCCTCCCATCTTCTTAACCAGTTTCCCAGGGTTGGGTAATCTTCCTTTGTCCTTCTTCTAATCTCTTTCTCTTCTTTTATTTCTCTACTTTTTCCTCTTATCCCTTTTAAATTTTTTCCCCTTAGCATAAAATCACTCTATTGAGTAGACCTTTACTGTATGTAATTTTGTGATTTGTCTTAGATTTTGTTTTATAACTATGAATCTTGTACCTGTGGTTAAAGGCAGCAAATTAATAGTTATCTCAGTTTGTCACTTTCCAGTCTGTGCTTGATGCTATTGTTATGATGGATTATATTACTTTAGTCAAGGTGACATAGCTGTGACCAATTGACCTTCCTTCTATACCAATACCTAGATCGTCTGGGAGGTCATAAATAATACTATAGTCCAGTAACAAAGAACTGAGTGCTAGGCCAAACAGTGAGCAACCTTTCATCCTTAATAAATTGAAGAGGCAGGATACTGAGACAGACCTAAAAGTGACTTAAAAGTGACAGACTTAGCTATGCCTAGAAAACATCTCTGAAAAGTGATCATTTCCTAAAGAGGTCCCAGTTCTAGTAATAAAACTACCTACCAAAGCAATCTACAAACCTCA